CAGTGTTTTAATCTGCTGTACATAAGGTCGCTATGAGTCGGTACCGACTCGATGGCACCTAACAACAACAACAGTGATTGGTTGGTTGGTTGGTTGTGTGCCATTGAGTCTATTCAGACTCAGAGCACTCCATGTGTAGGGTTTCTTAAGATGTAAATCTTTACTGGAGCAGAAAGCCTCATGTTTCTCCCTCAGAGCAACTGGTAGATTTGAACTGCGGTAGTTAGCAGCCCAGCTCATGATCCACTATGCTCCCAGATCTCCTAGTAGTACTTGTAAACTAAAGAGATCTTCTCTTTCATGCTTCATGATATATTGTAAAACTGATACGATTGCTAATTGAATTCAGAACCTACCATATTTGTAAGGAGACCAGTTTGAGATCTCTTAAAACAATTAGAAGGATAGACTCTGATTTAAATGATAAGAAAACTTGAAGAAAAAAATAGAAAATGCTTTCTGCTTTTGGATATTGAAAACCTTGCTTTCTAGTCTTAATTAATCTGAATGTCTCAGGTGCTAGTTCTAGTCAACTTTTTTTTTTTAAAGTTTTTATTGTGACTTGAGTGATAGTTTACATGGGAGAACCGTCGGTTTTACACTCATTGTTTCATCGCGATGATTACAATCTCCGTGCATCATCATTCAACAGTATTTGCTTCTATTCCTTCTGTTTTTTTTTTTTTTTGTGGGGGGGAGATGTACACAGAAACACTCAGGAATATATAATCACTTAAACAACTAAAGGGTTTACTTTGCAAGCCTGCCTCCTGGTGGCCAGCACACAGCCTTTCTCTTTTCATGAGTCTGGAGTCCTCAGCTGCTCTATCTTTCCATGTCCTCATCTCTGCCTTCGTCTCTGGTGTAGCTGCTTCTCTGTATAGAGTCCCACATTCTGCTCATGCTCTTCTCCCTTGATTGTCTTAGGGTTCTCTGGACTGTAAGATTGACAACTCCCCCCCCCACCCTTTATGTTACATAACTTCTACCTTTACAGTGTGACAGTCGCAATTAGTCATGATAACAATTATTCACTATTGAATCATACAAATCTTATCCCCATCTCGTTTCACCAGACCCTTCTAGACAAGATGAAAACTATTCAGTGGGGACTTCCCCCACACCCTCTTAAACTCAACTTCCTCTTGAAAACTTGTAAGACAGTCACTTTGTGCCTTTATTGCCCCCTAATTTTAGGTAGCCAGTGTCTAAGTTATTATATAATTTTTAAATTGCAATTACTGGCTAATTCATAACTTCTTGTTTCTTTCTCTAGGGTTCTCTATAAAGGTGTTTTAAAAAGGCTGATTTTTTTATATGAACCATTGTTTGGATTGCTACAGGAAGTCGCCAAGATTCAACCAATGCCTTACTTTAAAGATTTTACCTTTCCTTCTGATATCGCTGAGTTTTTAGGACAGCCATATTTTGAGGTCTTTAAGAAACAAACGCATCCACCTTTTGCAGCAAAAGGAGTAACTAGATTGCTGAATAAGCTGTTTTTACCAAAAGAACAATCACCATTGTCCAGCAAAGAAGCCTTACTTAGAATTACCAAAACATTTACACAGATGAAGACTGGTACAGAGAATAATGTGGATCTTGGACAGCTAGTAAAGAGTAGGAAAGACTTCAAAGGTAATTTGCTCTGATACAGTACAAGCTCTCATAAAAGCTATTGAAATTATAATGTAGTCATGTATTACAGAAGAGAGAAATTCAGCTTCTCCCTTCGTAATTTTAACCCACCTTGATTTTCTTTAGAGAACTATGGTTATATCAGTTTTCAGAAGTTTGAGTCTTTAAAGTTGTGTGTGGATCTGCTGTTGCGTTATAGTTCTCTGCTTGCTTCATTCCCTTTATTTCTTTTGTTATGATTTGGCAAGAAATGTTCTCATGTACTTCAAAGAGTTTGTTGTAGGTTTGAAAATATTATACCTAAGTTTTTATATCTGGGATCTTTTCCATCTACAGAAAAGTCATCAGAATTTGATGTGAGAGCTTTCTGCAAACAGCTGAAATACAAAACTACTCAGGTTTGTCTGACTTATTTTAATTTAATTGATTAATTTATAGTGTGGGTATCACTTTTTTATCTGACTTAATTTAATTGATTTATATTGTGGGTATCACTTTTTTATCTTTATCCCTAATTCTGAGTTGAGTACCTTCTTGTTGTTGTGTTATTAAGTGCCACAAGTTGATTCCAACTCATAGCGACCCTGTATAGGGTTTCTGAAAAGCGGTTGGTCAGTTTGAACCGCTGACCTTGCAGTTCAAACTGACCTTGTGCTGCAGTGCCACACCAGGACTCTCAGTGCTTAGTCTATACTTCCGAATGAATAGATGCACTTCCATAGGATTTTAATTTAATGGATCTAGTTAATCCAGTTAATAGAATGCCTTCAAAAGCGTTTTAGTAAACGCTTCTCTACAATTTCAAGAGTTACCCTAGAGATCCACCCTAAGTGTGTATTGCACTTCAGCTTAAGAGTATATAGGCTCTGCAGAAATGGAGGAGTTTTGGCTTTGGCTTGTACTAGTTGTGTGACCTTAAACAAGTTTTGACTTCTCCATAATAGTATGTAGTTATAGGGCTGTGCCAGCTTTAATGTATACAAAGTGTTCACAGAGTTTGGCGTGTGGTAAACACTTAATTGGTATAGCAACACTTAGGGAGTCAGCAGTCAAGAAATCAAATGACATATTGCATTAGGCAGATTTGCTGCACAAGACTTTTATAAACTGTTGAAGAATAAAGATGTCAGTTTGAGGACTAAAAGTGCGCCCAACCCAAGCCATGGTATTTTCAATAACCTCATATGCATGCAAAAGCTGGACAGTGAATAAGAAAGTACCGTGGACTACCAAAATAATAAACCAATCTGTGTTGGAAGAAGTACAGTCAGGATGCTCCTTGGAAGCCAGGATGGCCAGACTTCATCTCTCATACTTCAGACATGTTGTCAGGAGGGGACCAGTCCCTGAAGAAGGACCTCATGATTGGTAAAATGGAGGGTGTGAAATAAAAGAGGAAGACCCCCTCCCCCTCCCCAACGAGATGGATTGACACAGTGGCAGCAGCAATGGGATCAAATGTAGCAATGACTGTGAGGTTGGCACAGGACTGGGCAGTGTTTCATTCTGTTGTGCATGGGGTCACTGTGAGTTGGTACTGACTCATTGGCACCTAACAACAACATCATTCTTTTCACATCCTTCCTCATGAGGCTTCTGGTCCTTTCTTCCTGTTGGTGTTTAAGCTTTAACTTGATTTCTCTTATTAATTAGTGTCTGTAAATTCTATTTGTCCTGGACCTAACAACAGGTAAGTATATTTATGAATAATTTCTTTGAGAAAGATCAACCCGAGGCTAGTCTCTGAGTTGGAGGTTAAACATACCCCAACTTCTCTGACATTTTATGCCCATCTGTAATCCTGGATATCAATCACCACCCCTCCCCTCCCTCAAGTCCCAGGTTCAACTGTCAAAGGAAGTGGCTCATGCAGTCATGAAAGCTGGCAGTTCCCAAATCTGTAGTTCAGAGAGCATTCTGGAGGAACCTTCTCACCCATGTAATCTCTGGAGCTGAGGAACCCAAATCAACAGGTCATATGGCAGACTTGATGCACGAGGCTTTGGGAACTGGTGAATCAGGACAAGTGATGGGCCAAAAGTCCTATGAACTGGAAGTCAGATGTAATGAGCCAGCTGTAAGATCAAGGGCAAAAGAGTGAGCTTGTTCAAAGCAGTCTTATAAGTTGGGAGTCAGATCATGCCCCCAAGGGAGTCTAAGGATGGTGACTTGAGTCACAGCTTCGATTTAGGTAGGGACATCCGTAATTCTTAGGTATACTGTAATTTTTACTCCTCTTCCTTGTTAGTGCTGTTGAGTTGATTCCAACTCATAGCCACCTTGTGTAGGGTTTCCAAGGAGCAGCTGATGACTTTGGAACCTCCAGCCTTGCAGTTCAGACAGACCTTGAAGTCTAGCACATCATCCTATAGTGCCACTCCTTAGCAACTCATTTCACAATGGGTCCATAATCACAAACCTAGAGGCGAGGATTTACAGTAAATCACAGAAGGAAGAAATTTGGCTCAAGAGGCCATAATAAATAATTAGCTGCTCTGCAGTATGGCAGTGTCAGCATCTTTTCACCTAACTACTGCTTGACTTTTATGATCCTCTTTGTTCTCAAAATCTTTCTCTTTTGGTTTCCTTCATGAGTTATTTCTTCCTAAGTCATGGTACTTTCTTGAACTTTTATAAGGACTCCACATATTTTGTTCAAATAATGAGTTCCAGAGGGAGCAGTGATAATAGCTGATACTTACATTGCATTTACCTGCTAGGCATTGTTCAGAACACATTCTGTGTGTTAGTGCATATAATTCTCACAGAAGTCGTATGAAGTAGGTATTACTCCTTTTTTTTCCATATTTCAGCTGAGAAAAATTAAGGCATAGAAAGATCTAGAAACTGGCACAGGCCACATAGCAAATAAGCAGCAGAGCTGGGATTTGAATGCAGGCATTGTTTCTGTTCTAAACCATTTTGTCAGTCCCCAAAGTAGTTTTCTCCACTCTTTGCCCCAAGGAGAACTGTGGCTCTTCATGACCCTAGAAACTTCTCAGGTCCATTGATTTGCTCCTAGGTGAGCTGATTTTGAAGCTGGTTAGTTAGATCCTTCTTCATGACTAATCATAACCACATTTTCAGTAATTAGCACTAATATGCTCACCATCTTTTAGGCCAGCCAGACTTTTACCCATCACCAAATACTAGATAGGTCTCTACAATGATATGTTCTATTTTTCTTAAGGTGAGAAATTTGGAAGGTAACCTATGAATGGCGGATACACACTTAGGAGGTAGCATATTTTCATAAGGAAATAGTAGAAATAGGTAAAATCCAGACTTGATACTATAGAAAGATGGGAATGAAGAAAGGTACCCAGGCTAAGCATATGTATCCTGTACTCAGCAGTTCTTTTCTGAGGACCTACTCTGCTGGCTGCTCTCTGAAGCTGTATGCCTTCCCTGTCCTGATGCATTCTTATTAACGTTTGTGACCCATCACTGAATAGGGTTACGTAGGGTCTAGAAGTCAGTGAAAACATGGTACGGGTGTCCAGTGGTATAGAGAAGAAGGGTCCTATTGATGACATTTTTTTCCCCAGGTAGAATTTGGCCAATATTAATCGTGGGGAGTTTTATTCTGGTGCATATGTTAAATAGATAAGTATATTTTATTGTTTATGTTAAGACACTTAAGTAAAATTGAGCAACCCTGTACAGGGTTTACAGCTGCACTTTGGAAACCGTGTACAGGGTTGCTGTGGGTTGGATTCGACTCGACAGCACTTAACAACAACAACAGGTAAAACCTTGCGGAGTACAGAGGGCAACAAACAAGTAAATTTTTTTTTAAAAAAACAGCCAAATGTGTTGTTACTAAGTACTGTCGAGTCCGTTCTGATCCATAGCATCCCTGTGTAGGGTTTCCGAGGAGTGATTGGTGAGTTTGACCCACTGACCTTGCAATTCAAATCAACTTTGCAGTCCAGCGCATTAATGCACAATGTCAAACCAGGACTCCAAACCTGTGTTAGGCACACTGTAATAAAAAGAACAAAACTAAACCTTAAGACGAAAAGGAAAATGAAGTTTAAAGAAAAAAAAAAATGAAGTTTTCTTTCTTTTTAAAAAACTTTTTTCCCTAAAGTTTGATAGTGTGTGAATTAATCAGTTTTTCCGTTGTCATGTATAAGTACAAGTTAGTAAAACAGTCAATAAGTTTTTCTCACCGTTTCACATTTCAGGAGACCAACTTTGTGGTGAAATGTTCTCAGTCCAAAATAAAGGCAACCAAGTGCTCTTCTCAGAAAGTGGTAACCTGTGCCAAAAGTCTGGTGCAAAGATTCCGAGAGGCTGAGACTTTCGTACAACTTTCGGAAGAAATCCAAAAAGCAATTGTATGGTGCAGGAGGAAAAAACTCAAAGCTCAGACCACTTTTCTGAGTAACAAACTTCTTAAAAGTAATCGGCTTAAACATGTGGTGGAAGTTCAAGGTTATAGGTAGGTATATTGAAAAAATTAAGTTCCTTTGCTTTTTCTGTTGTCATTTAACACAAAAGCAAATACATTCAAGTCACCATTCTTTATAATGGAATATCTGTCCCCCAGCCTTTGAAGGGCTAAATTTGAGATCTTTTCTTGCTTTTGTTAATGTGGGCAAAACTATATCATACATCATAGGGAGGAAGAATGTATACTTAGTTTATTGGACTTATTCATTTATACTCTTCCTCATTTCATGTGTGTATTCAGAAAATGTTAGGAGTGTGTGGGAAGACAGACTCAGACCTCCCATAGCTTGTGTTCTGATGGGGGAGACAGTGTCTGCTGACAGCTTCAGCACAGCTGAGTGAGGGCTGGGTGAGCAGAAGCAGAGGGCCAGCTTTCGTGTTCACTCCAGGCCTGTGATTCTCACATTCCTAGAACTGCTTAAGGATGGCTGTCTCTGTTTATGAGCCAGTGTTGCATGAGGTATTTATTGTGTGAAGATAAACACTTGGGGAGGGTTGAGTCTTGCTTAATGGTTGTCTCACCATCCTCCGTTTAAATGAGCCTTCCAGCTGTACTTCTTCCAAGACAAATTTGTTAATTCTTCTCGAAGACCATGGTATATTCAGTATTCTTCACCAATACCATAATTCTAATGCATCAGTTCTTTGGTCTTCTTTCTTCATTATCCAGCTTCCACATGAGTATGAAGTGATTGAAAATACCATGGCTTGGATCAGGTGTGCCTTAGTCCTCAAATCGACATCTTTGCTTTTGAACGTGTTTAGGAGGTCGTGTGCAGCAAGATTTGCCCAGTGCAATAGGTTGTTTGATTTCTTGATGTTGCTTTCATTGGTGCTGAAATGAAATGTGTGACAACTTTTGTCTTTTCTCTCTTTACCATGACATTGCTTATTTGTCCAGTTGTAAGAATTTTCCTTTTTTTTTTTTTTTAACACTGAGTTATAATCCATACTCAAGAGTGTAGACTTTGATCTTCATCAGTAGGTATTTCAGGTCCTCTTTTAGCAAGCAAGGTTATGTCATCTGTATACAATAGGTTGTTAATATCTCCCTCCAGTCCTGATGCTGCATGCTTGTTTGTATAGCTTAGCTTCTCATATTTCTCAGTTATTGTTTGAGTAAGTATGGTACATACCTTTCCTGATTTTAAATCTCATAGTATCCCCTTGTTCTGTTTGAACAACTGCCGCTTGGTTTATGTATACAGGTTCCACATGAACACAATGTAATGTTCGGAAATCCCCATTCTTTGCAATATTAACCATAATTTGTTGTGATGAACACAGTCTAATGCCATACACAGGTTTGCTGGTTGGTGATAGTTATGTGTTTTGGATTTGGTTGACTCATAGCGACTCTGTATAAGGTTTCCACGCCTCATCTTTCTCCCTCCAAGTGACTGGTAGATTAGAATTGCAGCCCAACTTGTAACCCACTTTACTACCAGAACTACTTTACACAGGTGTAGGACTTGCAAATAAATTGTGTACTTTTTTGTTTAGTTGGTAGTTGCTGGAAAGGAGACAGATTAAAAGTGCTTGATAATATTTTTATGTGTCTTAACAAGCTCAGATTTTCCCTTTCTCTTTGTCTTTTTAAAGCTTGTCAAAGAAATTGGAGTGCATAAAAACATCTATTTGCAACTGCCTTCTTCGTGGTTCAGGTAACAAAACTTCAAAGCATCATCTGAGAAGAAGCTCACAGAATACGTTTTTACGGCGATGGAGGAAACCACAGAAAAAGCTGCAGTCAACCCTTTTAAAGGAAATCCAGCAGTTCCCTCAAGAGATTCAAAAGGGTGCTATAGATACCAGTGCTGAGCGAAGACTCTCACACTGCACCGTTCACAGAACTGATGGCTACCCTCACAGCAAGGAGCTCTCAGGTAGCAGAGCTTCAAATCGTGCCACACAAACTAAAGGAAAAAAAAACCAGGAAGGTCTTACAGAAAGCTATGAGGATGAAGTGGGTTCCTGGACAGTGGCTGAGATGAATAAACATAATGCATCAGGAACCATTAAGGGGACAGATGACATTGATGACATTTTTGCTTTAATGGGAGTTTAGATTTTGATCACTGTTAAGTGATTAACAATCTGATCCGGGGTTCTGCTGTTTTAAATGGAGCTGCTGAGATCTGGAAGGACTGCTTGGGTTGACAGAGGAGCTGCTTTAGCACAACATTGCACAGGTATTGGCAGTTCAATAAACATTTATAGGGTCTCTGTCATTTAATGAACAAAGTATTTATTTGGCTTCAACTGTTTTTTGTTGTTGTTCAGTGCTGTTGAGTCAGTTCTGACTCATAGCAACCCAGTGTGCAACAGATTGAAACACACTGCCCAGTACTATGTCGTCCTCACAATTGCTGCTGCTACTGTGTCAATCCATGTCTTTGGGAATCTCCCTCTTTTCCAATGTCCTTCCACTTGACTAAGCATGATGTCCTCTCCAGGAACTGGTCCTTCCTGATTATATGTCTGAAGTGTGGCCATCGTGGCTTCTAAAGAATGTTTTGATTATACTTCTTCAAACACAGATTTATTTGTTTTTCTGGCTTTCCATGGTACTTTTGATATTCTTCTCCAACACAATAACTCAAATGCATCAATTCTACAGTCTTCCTTATTCATTGTCCAACTTTCACATGCGTATGAAGCTATTGAAAATCCTATGATTTGGGTCAGGTACACTTTAGTCCTTAAACTGACATCTTTGCTATTCAACTCTTCAAAGAGGTCTTGTGCAGCAGATTTGCTTAATGCAATAAGTCTTTTTCTTGACTGCTACTTCCATGAGTGTTGATGGTGGATCCAAGAAAACTGAAATCTTTCACCACTTCAATCTTCTTTCCATTTATCATGATCTTATTTACTGATCAGTAGTGAGCATTTTTGTTTTCTTTGGATTGAGGTGCAACCCATACTGAAGGCTATGGTCTTTGATCTTTATTAGTAAATAACAGTAAATATTTTAAGTCTTCGCTTTCAGCAAGCAAGATTGTATCATCTGCATATTGCAGGTTGTTAATGAACCTTCCTCCAATCTTGATCCCACATCCTTCATATAATGCAGTTTTTTGGATTATTCACTCAGCATACAGATTGAATACAGGGTGAAAAAATGCAACCCTGGCATACACCTTTGCTAATTTTAAACCATTCAGTGTCCCCTTGTTCTGTTCAAACGTCTGCCTCTTGGTCTATGTACAGGTTCCTTATGAACATGATTAAGTCTTCTGTAATACTTATTCTCCACTGTGTCGTCCATAGCTTTTCATGATCCACATAGTTGAAAGCCTTTGCACAGTCAGTAAAGCAAAGAAAAACATCTTTCTGATATTCTGTGCTCTCAACCAAGATCTATCTGATAGCATCAGTGATATCTCATTCCACATCCTACTCTGAATCCGACTTGAACCTCTGGCAATTCTCTTTCAATGTACTGCTGGAGATGTTTTTGTATTCTTTAGCAAAATTTTACTTGCATGCAATATTAATTTTATCGTCTGATACCCACATCGTTTTGCATTACCTCTTTTTGGAATAGGCACAAATAATGGATCTCAGGCCAGTTAGCTATTTTCCACATTTCTTGGCATAGCTGAGTGAGTGCCTCTAGTGCTGTATCAGTTTGTTAAAAGATTTCTATTTATTCCATCAATTCCTGAAGCTGTGTTCTTTGCCAGTACCTTCACTGCACATTCAACTTCTTCCTCCAGTACCATTGGCTCTTAATCAATCGCTGTGAATCGGGCTGCTAATCTCATGGTCAGCATTTCGAAACTGCCAGCTGTTTCATGGGAGAAAGATGAGGCTTTCTGCTCCTGTGAAGATTTACAGCCTCGGAGACCCTATACATTGGGTGGGTCACTGAGTTGGACCCAACTTCATGGCCCATAGCCACCACCACGTCTTGAAATGGTTGAACACTAACCATTATATTTTTTGGTACAGTTATACTATTCTTTCCATCTTCCTTTGATGCTTTGTACATAATTGAATATTTTCCCCAGAGAATCCTTCTGTATTGCTACTTGAGGCTTGAATTTCTAAATCAGTTCTCTCAACTTGAGAAATGCTGAGCATATTCGTCCCTTTGCTTTTCCAACTCCAGATCTTTACACATTTCATTATAATATTTGACTGTGTCTTCTTGTGCTGCCTTTGAAATTTTTTGGTCAGCTCTTTTTCCCCTTCATTTCTTTTGCTTCAGCATTTCTACACTGGAGAGCAAGTTTAAGAGTCTCTTCTGACATCCATTTTGTTTTTTCCTTTCTTCCTTTTCTTCTTAATGACCTTATGCTTTCTTCCTGTATGATATTCTTGATGTCATCCCACAACTCTTCTGGTCTTTGGTCTTTAGTGTCTAATGCATCAAATCTGTTCTTCAGATGATCCTTAAATTCAAGTGGGATATGTTCAAGGTCATATTTTGACTTTTTTGGACCTCATTTTTCTCAGCTTCA